GAAGCAGGCAAGTTTCCAGCTTCACATAAGATTGACTTTACTCTTTTGTCACTTAAGTTTTTAGATGAATGAGACATATCGTTGTCTATTGCCGTTCTGTATTGCTACGTTGGTTGTCCATTAGCTTTTTCAAAGATTTCCAGATGCGATGAACAAGATGAGGACATGGCATTTTGCGACTGACTAAAGAATGTTTATATTGTAGATCATTTCTTTTTTCAATGCTGTAACTTTCTCCCGTTGCTATTGTCCAGCCACCTGTGATGCTGATTGTGCAAAAGTAAGGAGAAGAAAAGCAGTCAATGGCAAAAATTTTCTCGTCATGGGAAACTATTGTAGCCGATGAAAAATGAATAAATCACTGTTTCTTAGAAAAGAAAACAGTCAAATTGCAAATGTCAATCAGATGATTCGAACTAATCATTGCAAGCAAACAATGCACTGCAATGAAATCTTGCGCTCATGCATGATTATGGCCGTTCTTTTAGAGAAATCAGATATCGATATCAAAGATAACAGTTTGATCAAAAAGTCCCTTCGAACAAGTCAATTGATTAGTAGATGCCTATTTCTTGCTTATGCTGTTGTTAGAAGTAAGATACAGTCACATTGCTTTTTTTCGAATTCTCTAGTTTTCCCTATATCACAAATCCGCTGTACACCAACCATTTACTACGATGGTGAGATTGATTTTGTTCAATTTTGATCCGAAATCGATGAATTCTTCCATATGAATAAACGTTTTGTTCGTGTGTATTACAATATTTGATGCCAGAGCTGAGCAAGTCAAGCCTGATTTGACTTGATTTGTGACTTCAAAAGTTCTGGCTTGTCCAACTCTGAGACTAATCACATAAGAAGACAAAATAACGGTATCAAGTTTTACGTTTCTAACAGATTTTTCATTTTGGCTGAGAAAGAGCTGAATTGATGTGTAATAGCATAAGGCAAATTTGGTTAAGAGAAAAAGACAAGTAGATGTAATGTCAGACCCGATAATGTTGTCTTTGTAATTTACAGCCGATTATTGTGACCATCAAAGACGTGGTCGAGTAGCCGGACTTTATTGATGAATGTTGCTTCGACGATACGGAAGGACACCAACAGATAGAAAGAGTATAGAGAATCGATATCCAATAGTCGATCTATGTCAATGTTTCAATACTCAATAATATAAACATTGAAAAATCTCTCCCCCATCACGCAAATGGCAATTGATATTTTCAATTTGTTAGTTTACCGATGAGAGTTTTACGTTAACCGGAGCACGAATGATTTTATTAACTAACAGCACAGACATCCCCATTATACTAAATATAGAGATCAGTCTATTTTTTCGATTGATTTACTATCACCTTTAACCAGTCTTTGAAACAATAAAAGCAAATCGGTATAGGTTAAAAAAAATCACTTTCTTAGCCATAAATGAACCAAGCCCACAGAGATAAAGGTGGATTTTGCTTTCGCCGTCTTTGGAGTAGCATGATAGAAGGAGTGCGGATGCCCAATGAGTGATTAGAATACTAACATACAATGCTAAGTGACAGAAAAAGGGATCAACCAAGGATAACCAATTAAATCCTTTTTCGTTCAGTTCTTTAGCAAAAAAAAACGTTTTTGAGTATTGTTTTATTTGTTCTATGTGCTATCAAAGTTTCTTTTTTATTTCGTAGTGGATGATGTCGACACAGAAATATGCAACTCAGATGTGTCATTCTTAAGCAATGATTGTGAAATAACCTATTTTATCCCGTTGCTGATAGCAGATACAGCCAATATCACTTTTTGTCGTTGACTTCTGAATGAATATGCCTATTCCGTAGTTGCTTCTCAATCAACTTCCAGTAGAACGTATCTTCGATATATTCACCTACTTAACGGCTATCGCAACTCTGCATTGATTCTATAATTACAGCCGATACTTAAGACAATGTATACGAAATTATCAGCGATATAACATTAACTTTCAATCTATATACAAACATGAATTTGATTGGATATGTAGTGTTATTCGTCCTAATCAATTTATAACACTTACAATATCTGATGATAAAGAGACACCTGGTCAAATGGATCTTTTTTTTCTCTCGTTTTCCAACATTCGATAGGAGTTTTACTCGATTGGAATATATTCAATTATGAAATCTCGAAGAATTTCCTTGTTGCTCTCAAATGAAAAGTCTTCATTCAGTGAACCTTGATTTAAAATGTTGGTCACTTTGTTCCTTCGAGTATGATTATATCAAACAATATGAAGAAAATCTCAGCAACATTTTCTGTCTTCCTACATTAGCACTCTCATTAAAGATAATAAGCTGTTGAATATAGGTTTTAATTTCGAAATCTTACCCATTGCTGAACATCTTCACAAATTTGAAGTTCATTTAAATACAATTAACAATCTTCCATTCATTTTCAAATGCATACCGAATATACGTACAACGACTCAATTTAAGTCTAAAGAGACGTCCTTTTGACAATGATTCCATCTAGAAATTTGATGTTCTGCTTTCATTGACTTATTTAACAATTACAGTTAGCTACAGTCTTCAAGATGAAATTCGACAAATTATTCAAGCATGCTTGATGTTGACCTATTTAAATTTTCATATTGAACACAATCATACGAATTTGTCTCAATTGCTCGATGGTAACTTGTGGCAATTTTTGATCGATAATCTTTGTCTCAACACAAGATCTGCCTTTTACGAGTATGCTACATAGTATGTTCTCGACAGATATCCACAACTACTTCGAGGCTAGTTGAGATAAAATTAGATGTTTTCCTATGTTTGTTACATGTAGCTGGACAAAGTCTTACATATATTTTTGTCATTGTGATCATAGCACTCTCACTTGAAACATGATTGTTTGTTAAATTGTATCGAAAGTGCGTTTGATGATATTTTTGCTCCTAGAAGGTCGATTTAGCGATTTTCTAACGGATTCAATGCATATCCTTCTTTGACCGTGCACAAAACTATTTTACTAAGAGTAAAATCAATCTTGGCTTCTATTTTGTAGTGATGTTTGAGCAGTATAGAGAAGTCTCAGCATATATCTTCGACAAAATTTCGTCAGTACCTATACTTATTTGTGAATGTTAAGAATATCAATAAAATTTTAATTTATTCTGAATGTCGTTTACGTAAAATTTATTTAACAGTCAAGGTTGATCGATTAGAAAAATAAGTACAAATGTATATAATTAGATCCGTTGATCTCGATGGTTTTTCTTATGTCGCTTTATTAGAATGAATTTAGCATTAATTTATTAAGATTGATCTCACTCCTTTACCTGAACTGACGGTAACAAAACATTTTCTCAAAAGCTTTCAAACAACGTTTTTGACTAACAATCAAAGAGCACATCGGTTATTTACCATCGATGTAACCCCATTCTATATGTTGTTTATCGACTGCAGTCAACTAATCGTACAAAATAAAATATTATCCATCGATTTACCATTCAATGAAACAACTATTCATCCTTTAAATCATAGTTCCGATGTTAAAATATTGCTATTGAAACATGACATCAGTACTATAGAATGCTACATAGTGTCAGATCTGTTGGAACTCGAACGATATATCAATTATTTGTCGGCACATACCTGTGACACCAATCCTTCTCTACTGAGTCAGCTTCTCACCATTGAACCTCGTCTTACTCATTTGACAATAGCATATCACCTGTACAGAATGATCAATTTCAAATATCCATAAATATGTTAGCTCGATATGAGACGTCAATATTTGCCGAGTAACATTCAAACAAAGCTTTGTTTGGCATTTTCTTTTCTTTAACATTTAATCAATTCTCATGTCTATAGTGACGAAGATTTGAAAGTACTGAAGGAAAATCTCAAATATTTACAAAGTATCATTATTCATATACAGTCTTATTATTTTGATGACAATGATGAATTCCATCAATGGTTGACAATGAACACTTATTTTAAAAATTTTTCTTTCAAATTATTTAACGATCGAGAGATATAATTGTAGATTAGCAATAGACAAGCACCAAACATAAACGATTCTGATTTTGCTTCAATGCCAGGACTAATCGGATGATTTATTCGATGAACATGAACACCGAAGAGAGCTCGAGTAAATGAACAAGATCAACAAGAACTATTCTTTGTCCATCATAAATATCAAATTGCTGTCACGTAAATATGTCTACCTATGTTCAGTAATTTGTATAGGCTCTTCTCTGTAATGAATAATATGCCCAAGCTACGAAGACTGTTGTACCCTTCGATGAAATGAAGGTAATTTATTTTTAAAAAATTGAAGCACTGTGACTTTTCTATCGTTTTTATATCTGGCAATATCACCTTTTCAAATAGAAAAATTATTCATTTTTCATTTTCATAATAACTCTTGTCAGAATGTGAGTGATTTGCTGCCGCGATTCGTCATATGGCAAATTATATATTATATTTGTTGTTGGACTGAAAAAAAGCAATGCACGCATCAAACATTTTGATTACATTCAAAATAATTTTCTCCGCCATCGATGCAATGCTTTTTTGCATAAAATACTACCCTGATTTTTCTCATACACGTCGTCTAACAGGCTGAATCGTGATAATGAAAAAGCAGGTCATTCGTACTACAGTTATTGAAATTCACTCGAAATGAGTACTGAGAAAAAAAATTCAAAATCCAATCAGTTGGAACTTTATCTTTGCCTCTTGTTTTTATTAAAATCAATCTTTCTGTAATTGAAAATTTTCATTATATAGAACAAAATCCTATTGCCCCCTCCTGATTCGTCCCATTCGTCACTGCTGTATCGTTAACCATAACCCTGACTCTGTAACATCTGTCACGCGAACGAACAGCAGAAGGATTTATTAGCAACAAAGCAATAAATGTAAAGACGAACTGAGGAAAAGCAATTAATCAGAAATGCGCACAAACAACCAAATCAAGCATGAATGTACGATGATAAGAATAACAATATGAGCAAGTTCAAGAGATATTTTCGATTATGGTGCACAGCGAAATCGACGTTTAAATAATTGGATGGCTTTTCGAAAATTTCTTTTGTATTCATTTGATGGTAATACAAAGATAAAAAATGGTAATGTTGCTGGAACAAAGGAAACAAAATAGCCGATCAAGAACAGACTTGGTTCACGCGGTGTTTTCATGCATTTGGTGAAAAATGGAATGATGAGGCGTGGTACACTCAAAAGAACAAGTAGAGCAGGTGTCATGAGTAGATGTTTATGTTTATGCATTTGATGACGAAAATGTTCTCTGATAGTTTTTTTCGGTTGTGATTGAGATCGAGAGCGTGCTATTGATATAATCATAAATATAACACCAATAAGATTGCTCGAGAATGGCACGAGAAAATGTAAGAACGTTATTGTCGAATTCCATCGATCAAGAAATGCTGAATATTGAATGAAACACCATGTACGCTGTTCATCAGCATCGAAATCATCTACCAATCGACGCAAAAGCGGATCATGCAAATGTGTTGATATTGTTAGAAAAACGATGATGAAAATCATTTGTTTGGCAATCTTTTGACTCTTCTTTCGATCGAATAGAGTTCCTTGCTTAACAGTCACCAATCGTTCGATAGCAACACATGCACTTAGCCAATCACTGGATGCTAAAAGAATTCTGAGACTGGGATCGGTAACGATGCAAAGAATATTCAACAAAATCCGATTCTGAATCAATGCCATTTGTGAGAGAACAAGATACCAAAATTTGATTGTCAATACGAGAATGGCACAAAGTGAAATTATCGACGATGCCAAAAGATACCAACCACAACCGCAGTTTCTCGGCTTTCTCATTCGAAATGTCATCATTGATAATGAACAACTAATAATGCCAATTATTAAAATACTCGTATTGATCGAAATGGCCACTTTGATACTGAACGATTGTTGAGAAAGATCAACGTTGGATCTAATGTGATAGCCCAAGATCGAATCGAGTGACAGAACAAATCCTCGTGTCGAAAATTGACACTTTGTTCCATAGAAACAATCGGGACAAATGCAGAATGTTATCGTTGGACAAGTAGCATTGTTTATAAGACATTGTCCATTATTTTCACACACATTTGAATCTTGACAATTGTAAGTTATCGAATGATTGAAATTGAAACAATTGGCAAATCGATCCAAATCACAGATACATATGAAAATATCATCATAGAAACACATCAATCGGCGTTGTTGTCGACATAATAATGGATAATATTTAAGTCGATGCCAAACAGGAGAATTGATCCATGTCGCATTACCAAGTTCTTCAATCGATGGACAACTTTGATTTGATTTGATTTCAGCATGAATCGATTCCGATGGTATGAATATTTCTCGTAGAATTGTTAAATAATAAGTACGATTGAATAATTCAACAAGAAGAATATGAAATGGATCTGTAAGATGAAGAGTAATTGTATCCTTATCAATCGGAATCTTTTTAAATAAAGTTATGTGTTCGTGTTTTCGATCGTTGAAGGCCGTGATCAGATGAATAGCGACCGATGAAACAGTTGCAAGAAAATGTTGTTCGAATTGAAGTGTGATCTGATTATTGATCTTTTCGCATCTCAAACCAGTAAAACCTTCTTTGCAAAAACAAATGAATCCATGAAAGTCCAAACGTACATCGGCGGGTACACAGAATCCATTATTTTCACAAGGATTGTTCAATTTGCAAATGGTATGTTCTAAGAAACAATGCCGACCGAATCGATGCAATGGACACAGACAGAATGATGGTGCATGACATCGTGCGCCAATAACACACGAACATCGATGTGTTTCGTTGCAGGCTAAGCCCGAATAACCTGGATCACATAGGCAGAAGAGCAATGTTCGTTTATTAGCATAACGGCGACATCGACCATGATGACCACAGTCTAATTGGCAATCTTCGGTTTCTGCTTGATCTGGAATTATTAATTGAGCAGCTAGACGATTAACAGGTAAAAATGAATACGGTATTGATAGATGCCAACTGACATGATAATTCAATGTCAATCGATCGAATACATCGATATGAACAGAATAGTTTTTCGATGAATTTTTCGGTCGATCGGGATAGAGTAGATAGAGATTATACTTGATGCCACAATCATGCACTGGTATAAATGTTAACTGTTCGATATTCGGTGCGATTCGCCCATTTTCGTCGATCAGCATGAGAATGATCTGAAAGACATTTATTCCAAATTTGACACTGCGAAAGATGAACTGAAGTGTCAAACTGACACGTTGACTTTGCCATTGGCATTGATCACCGAAAGAACTCGGTGGACAAAAACATTTCTTGCCTTCAGACGGTCCGAATCGAAGGAAAATGCCTCGATAACAATGGTAATTCAATTCGATATCGATTGTGTAGTTGTTGGATACTTGTGAATCATTGGTTACAATCGTTGTTATTGGTGGAATGGCCGATGGTGGTGGAAAGAATCCTAAACGTGATGACAAAAAATAATGTCGTGAATTTTGGTACTGGCCGACAGGAAATTCATGGCAAACGTATTCTCCATGGTATGTTGCAATATTTTCTTCTATTTGCAACAAACTTTTATCAACGTATGGGCAACCAATCTCGAATGTTTCTTCCGATTGCACGGAATTTGAACGGCAGAGTTTTTCTCGTGTAATACATCGATTATTGTGCCATGCGAGACTTTCATTTATATTCATCTTAGTTTGATTATTGAAATAAATTCGACGCCATAATGTTTCCGGATAGGAAGGACAATCGTTGAAAACTGTATCGTATAAATATTCGATGGGTAGACAGACAAAATCTGAGGAATTCTTGAGCGAACATGCATGTTGATTCGCTGGCCATCGACTATCGGGACAGTTCAATTCGTCCATACCATTCAGGCACTGCCAAACATTATCACATCGAACATAAGGTGTATTACAAGGCCAATATTCACAATTGGTTTCATCGACCAAACTATCATTGATAATGAGTCTATCGATAAAACCATCGCAAAATAATGAATAGATATAGTCGAATTTGCTTGGCAACAAATATGGATTTAACAATTCGTCTTCTGCATCAACACAATCTATTACACCGTTGCTAAAGGCAATGAATGCCAAGCATGTACTACGATCATACTGACATACAAATCGGCTGGAATCATTCAAAGAGCAAGCATCATAAGATTCATCTTCTCCAAAGAAACAATCTCGCATACCGTCGACGAGACGATGATACGATATGCATTTCATTGATTGTGAACAATAGAAAAGAGACGAATCCGAACAGAAATCTTCGCGGCCAATCGTTAAGCATCGTTGAATAAGAGGTTCAAAAACAAATTCAATCATATAGAAGTTAGTCACCGTTGCGTTTCCAATTTCATCAGGAAGATCATTTCGATGGCAACAACTCAATCCATTAGTCAAATTTCTAACAACAATGAATTGTAACAAACCTGGACAACGGTGCGAATCGAAACAGATATAATCTGGTAGAATGTTCATCTCGAATTCATCGATTGATCGATTTGTCAAATAAATAAATTGAAAAAAACCGAATAGAATTGGTTGTTGAGGTATAGTAATCCATTCTGAATGGCACTGTGATGCCAGAGAATGACAACGATTAACTGGATAGTGAATAATAGACGGTGGCGAACAATGATTGGTCCATTGCTTTGAGAGTCCTAATAAACATAATAATGTTTGTTGACAATCCATATTCGAATCGAGAACTGTTCGAATGAGTTTTACTGTGCGGTGATTGTAGCAGTGATAGTCAAAAGTGATAGGCAAGTGCCGTGGACTACATTCTCCATCCCCACATGAAAATGAATATCGATCTCGACAGCGACGCTCTTCACATTCAAATAATGGATTATTCATACAATTCTTGCGTTGTTCAATGTCCAGTATTCTATCTACAAATTCACCTTCATCGCTTCCATCTAAGCAATCGAGATTATTCTCGCCATCAAATAAAAATGCCAATGGAATGCACTGCCCACCATAGTGACATCGATATTCTTTAGGTGAACATTCACTCGATTCCAATTGATCACAGAATTGTTCATCTTCTCCATTGATACAATCGGGTTTGTCATCACAAATTTCGCGCCAATCTAGACAGATAGGTGATGGACCACGATCGCAGGTCGATAGAAATGGATAACATGTACTATTCTCAGTATTCAAACATTGTGAGCTTCGTTGTCGAAATGAACCATAGATGATCTTATCGAATGACGATGGAATATCGCCTTCGAACTTGTATTGACAATGCGAACCGAACCATGGCGATGAACAATTGTAGAATATATCATTCGAACCTATGCCACGATTCTTTTCATAGCGTTCGGCGACATCCAGTGGAGCGAACCAAGAAAGAAGTTGTGCACTGGTCACATCTTGCTTATACATATCATTGAAAGAGATCAGTTGGCCTCTTGAACTCGGCAAGCTCTCGATTTGATCTTTCCGATCGGATCGACGACAATAAGAAATCAAATGGTATCGACGAACGAAAAGAGCAAAATTATCCGCGGCGCGTCTCGAATAATCAGTTGTATGAAAATAGAGACAATCGAATGTCGAATATGACAACGGCGACGATGGTTCATCAGTTTCGAATAGAACGAAACGAGTATCAACGCAGAGAATCCAGAAGAAAATCAGAAACAATTCAAGAATTTTCATCAATGAAACAGAACAATAGATATAGATACAATTTCACTGAATATTCGTTCGACGTTAGAAGATTACGTATATTTCTCTTCGGAACCTTTATCAATCACGATAAGCCGTTTGCAAACGTTGTAATTTTGCTACAATTTATCGACACGAATAAGAATTCAATTTTTCACACTTTAGTTAATGTTCAATTGAGCATTGAAATACATTCATCTGCAAGCACATTCATCAAGAAAAAAATGTGTTTTGACACTTTTGAGATCGAAAAATGAAAATGAACTGGGATTTCGACTGATTTGCGTCTGCAAATTGAAATGACTTCAGTGTTCGTTTTTGAATAAGATGAGAAGAAATTGAAATAGGGCACGCATACAGAAAAATACAGATAAGAATATTACTACGTACTGGAAAAAAGCTAGTCAAACAGAAGTGATCATGACTTTTTTCTTATTGCTCTCATAGTTTTCCTAATCCTTGTAATTTGTTTGGATCAAATAGTAAATCATGATCAAAGTATATGATCGAATCAATAGCATATTTATAATTTACTCAATGTATATTGAGAAGACAAGTATCTTTATCAAGATTTCATATTACTATTGAAAAATGCTGAGCAAATGGTCTCAAATGTGCTCTGAAGATGTATTTCATGTTTGTCTCACTTACTGTTCCACAGAATGTAATATCCCAATTGTTGCAAGAGCATGATAAAAATTATTTTTATACTGGTACGGATATTGATATTCTTTACTGTCGACGAGCAAGACACATGGTAGTTCAGTCATGTACTTGCGAGAATATGGTACGTTATCCGGTACTATATTTGATTAAATATTTGTAAACATGCTGCTGATCTGATTATGTACGTTTGTTATTATATAGTATGTGATGGAAACAAATTATCAGATTTCAGAAGAAAACGAAACGAACGATCAGAAAAAGCACGATTAGCTCTGTCTCATTCATTTTCTTTTATTAGATAGAAACCTATACATGCGTATATTTTAGTGTACTTGTACAATTTCAGTTTCTTCCAATCTCATTAAAACAGGAGACTATGCTTAAGAAAGACCTGGTCTTATTCGTCACATGAGACAACAAAATAATAAGAGCAACTAATCTAGCTGAAATTTTAAGAAGTGTGTCTAGACAAAAAAAAATTACAGTAAAAAATTCGGTAGAAAACATCGAGTTGTTTGAAATTTATCCGTACTTTAACAGTCAATAAGTACTCGTGTGTTCTAGATTCTTCTTCCAAATCTGATGATGCATATTTTGGATTGGTGTCAAGATGTAGCCAACAAGTGTACTGAGACTGAAAGACTAGGATACATCTTGTGAACGAGCATCAGGGCAAAACTAGCAAAAGGTACAGGCTTGACAAAAATCAAAAGATGTTCATCAAGAAGCTAGCCGAATTTTTTGTGGACTTCAAAATTCCATATCAATTCAACTTCTAGAATTCTCTTCAAACTCCAAAAGACCGAGCTCCGAAAATTGAAAACAGTATGTCGGCATGTCTGTGAAAGGTTTGTGATGGAACTCGAAAGGCTATATAGCAAGAAAAAACTCGGAATTTTTTAGAATTACGATTTCAAATCTATCAAAAATTTTAAAAAATAAATAAAATCTAAAAGTTAATTAAAAGCAATGTTTTCATGACTCATAAATCTGTAGCATGTTGCCGACATTATGTCATAGTCTGTGAGACAGATGTGGGAGGCTGATACCAAGTATGTTGTTATTCTCTAGACTGAGAAGTCTATGGTCTAGAAAATGAAATAAAAACGAAAAAGCTACACTTTTTCGACCTATTTGAGTCTTTTTTTTGTTTTAGGATCATTGAAGCTTGAATTTTTTGACAATTTAATGTTTGCATTGTTGGAGCAAGGACATTTGAAAAATAATTCTAGTTAAAAATATTTCAGTTTATATTTACTTGAAAATTTTTGCATTGGAACTCGTTTATTTTTCAGCTCAGATACATTTTAAATGCAATCTTTATAGAAGTAGAATGTTTTTCCTTGAAATACGACTTTAGGCATTATTGTTGATAATGAAAAGCATCTCAGAAAAAAGACTTCCTGCTTCATATATCCTGACAAGAATACTGATATACTATTCTGAATATTGCGTAGTATCACTCTTTTATTTCCTAGACTGAATAGTCTGACGCTTAAAGTCTTACTTTAAAAGAAAACTTCAAAGTGTTTCTATCTGTTATAGTGTCATGCAGTTGTCACCTTGTTTTTTTCTTTCTTTTCCGTTTCTTTGTTTTCTCGTTCTACTACCGTATATAGATGATACACACAATATGTATATTCACGTACTTTCCAACATTTTTTCTTTAGAAACAGTCTAGATGTATCTTTTCATAACAACATGTTTCTGGGTTTCCAAATTCGCTTATATATAAATTTTTAGCTTTTTTCGAATAAAGTAGCTCTTTTCGATTTACTAAAATCGATCATAGGCTAACAGTATCGCTGACGTCATTCTTTGGAATGGTGACGTCTATACTTGTATCGGTGACAGACGTTGCTGAAGTATTTTGGGTTCAATCTTCAAAGTATAAATGACTTTTCCTTTTCTTTTCCATATTTAAATTTCGAATAAAATCCGTACTTACGTATGAAACCAATTTTTCATAGAAATTGATAATTTGATTTTCAGTTTATTTTTTTGCACCTAGATTTGACTTTCAATAACTTTTTTGAATTTGAAAAGTTATTTTCACTCAAATCAGAAATCAATTTCTCATGTAGAAATATTAGCTAAATGTGAATGAATTATCGTAAGTTGAGCCTAAGTTGAAATTTTCAAGTTGAATCGATGAATAATTAGCGAACATTTACCTTTCACTATTTCACTGAAATATTTGTCAAATACATCTTATGATCTCAGCCTAGGGCCAAGTGAATTGGTGTTCGATGAGCGCTACTTTTATATTGTTCAACACTCATTAAGAATCTCATTTCACAAACGAACATATTAAGCATCAAATATCGGTCATCGAAAGTCAATTCAATGGTTGCGAGACTGAATTAAGACTTCATGATCTTCTATCATAGTACTGAATACATGTAAACACATTTTTAACGAAAAATAAATTGAATTCAATGAGATAGTGAAACGTGAAATAAAAAAAGAAGCGCCATACATGAGAAACTGAAAGAAAAATATAAATTTAAAAGTGCGAAAAAGAAAGAATTGCGATACGTTTGTTAAAACTGCATCGTAGCCTGTGAAACAGTCTACAGATAAGAAAATAAAAGAGAATACTATGTGTAGTTTGCAAATTGAACGAATATATATCATCCACAACATCTGTCATTGTTACAAATTCAGACGTCACCGATACAGACTCTAAGAATTTCGGTTTTAATTTAAGAATCTAGATCCTAGACTTATTACTTTAGAGAAAACTAAAAGAAAAACAGAAAACGAAAAACACCTTACTTATCGCAGAACAGCACACATGAAGGTTTAAAAATCGTTTTATGTGAAAGACACACAGACCCAAACGAATTATGTACCACTTGCAAATCTCGGACTTTAAGTCTAGGAAATAGAGGACCTGAAAGGACTTTGATAATTGAGGCTTGTAAATCACCAGTTGAACTGTGAGTTTTGCCAGTAGAGCCCTGTAAAACTTCCATATACTGTCGTAAAACCAGCTAATCATAGTGCATTCGAAAGTACGAAACCTGCCCTACTCAACTATGTATGAGGCTCGAAAACCATAAATCTGTAGAAAACTTGAAATTTCGGACAGAAAGCTTTCAACAAAGAAGCGAAACAAAGATAAGAGAGAATAATAAGAAAGCGTGTTGAAATAGAAGTCATGCGCAGTCATACTCGTAAGAAAAAAGAGCTTTCTGATTACCTATCTGCATATAATCTTGTTAACGAGAGAATACCATGTAGTGAAAAAAGAGTGGACGAGAGTTGGCATCTCCAAAATTTACACAGTTACTCCATAATTTAGCGAATAGAATTTCCATCGATAATTCTTATCTAGTACTGACGAGAAGTGGAAGCATGACTTATATCTGTGTTGTTACACAGAAGTTTATCTCGAATGTTTGTCCAAATGCAAACAGGACGTGTTGATAACTGTTGTTTCCTGCCGACTCTTGCGCTAAGTGGTAGTTGAATTAGAATGTGTTGCAAGCATAAGTTCTGCACTATCGATAAGCTTGTTGTAGCGAATGATTTAGCCAATCAGATATCAGGGAAAAGATCCCCAGTTGAGTTTTAGTCAAGTAAATCATTCGTAATTATGTTCAGTTCCACCTTGCTTCACAGGGCTCTTGCCAAATGGCTGATTTGTACAAAAACTTTCAAATCGCGTGCGTCATTATTCTTATCAATTACTAGACAACTTTACTATATTTCTTATCTTGTTCATAATGCTGTCAACTTGACCATCGAATAAATTCAAAAACTTGGTGATATTGATGACAATGTTTCTAGTTATATTTACAACTACTTGTTCATATGCTGTTTACAAAGCACAAGAAAAATCGAAGAAAAACGAAACAAACAACGAAAAATTTGGATGCAAACATATTGGCGATGCAAGAGGATTCAATCAAACAACAAAAAAGCCAAACAATAGTGCTATCAATTGCAAACAGTCGATAAAGATATGAAATTGTGTGACATATGGTTGTTAACTGTGATAGAAGATGGTAAAAAAATGCACATTGAGCTGGCAAAAGTTGAAG